TATATATATATATATATAAAAGCTAGATAATAATATTAAAAGAAAAAGTTAATACATCAATACATTTATCAAAAATTAAAATCATCAATGTATCATATATAAATACATATGATGTTTTTATTAATATCCTGTAATGTATAAATTTATATGAAAATGAATAAAGTTTCAAAATGATTGTTTACAATAGATAAATATAATATATAGTTAGAATGGACGAAATTCTCAAATGTAACTTAATATTCCATTTGAATTTTAAGGGACAATTTACAAAGAATTTTGGAACATAAAATTTGCGATTTTATACTAGAGAGGCTGAGACACTTTATATCTCTAATAATTATACATAGATAAATATTATAAGTTATAAAAGATTTTTTTCTTTTATATTTAAAGGGTATAAAGGTCCACTAAAAAGTGGAGACTAAAAAGGTGATTATTAAAATGTATCCCCTTTATAATAGGTATATATATATATGAGGAGGGTTCAAACGACACCGGTGTAACTTTTACTAAGTGTTACACCGCTCAATAACTTTATATTAAATGTGAATTTTGTAAATCCAACCGTTAGATTGAAAGTTCATATCTCTTAGATCATATATATCAAATTTTATATTAATCTAAGATGATTTGATACTTCATTCTTATAAAACAAAATTGACGTAATATATACATTTCAAAATATACTAAAATATGAACACTTTGATTACCTTCAAGTTTTAGGGTTTAGGGTTTATAAGAATGAAGTATCAAATCATCTTAGATTAATATAAAATTTGATATATATGATCTAAGAGATATGAACTTTCAATCTAACGGTTGGATTTACAAAATTCACATTTAATATAAAGTTATTGAGCGGTGTAACACTTAGTAAAAGTTACACCGGTGTCGTTTGAACCCTTCTATATATATATATATAAGAGGGATCAAGAGGAAGTCTACCTAGACTTACTCCGTTCAATAACTCATGTTCTATATCATATTTCAACGATTCAACCGTTAAATTAAAATTTCTTAATGCATAGATCAAATCTGTAAATTTTTAAAAAATTTGAAAGTCATTTGATATTTCATTTCATAAATTCAAATAAAACGAAATATCAAATATCTTTCAAATTTTTTAAAAATTTACAAATTTGATCTATGTGTTAAGAACTTAATAATTTTCAAATTTTTAAAAAAATTGCAGATTTGATCTATGCATTAAAAATTTTAAATTGACTTGAATTTATAAAACAAAATATCAAATGATTTTTAAATTTTTTAAAAATTTACAAATTTTATCTATATAATTAGAACTTTAAATTTAATTGTTGGATTGTTAAAATATGATGTAGAATAAAAAAAGAAATCTAGGTAAACTTATTTTTGAAATAAATATATCTCTCTTCTTGTATATATATATATATATAAAATTTATTTATTTATTTATAAAATAAAAGGCGGATTATAAAATTTGAAAAGCGAAAGTTGAGTCGGAAGCAAAGTTGAAAACAAGAGTCCCTGAGTTGAACACGAGCGAGCAGCGCACGTTACTAACCATGGAGTCTCAGCCTAAGGCTTCTCCTCTTCCCCGTTTGCCAAACATCACCGACCTGGCACCGCAACACGTAGCCTTTCTGGATCAACACTTCCCAACCAAACACGCCCTATCTGGCGAATCCGCTAATCTACCCCTCTCCTCCTCGCTCTCGCAACACTGCTCTCAACTACAGTCCCTCCTCCTCCACCACGACACCAAACGCACCGTTTCGTGGATCTCTCGCTCCTTCAACGCCAAATCCTCCCTCCAACGACTCTCCCTCGCCCTCCGGAACCTCTCCCTCCGCACTTCTCCACGTCCGTGTAAAAATTTATGTTTATTTTTTATTTGTTATTTTACTATATTCCTTTTTTATTTTATTTTATTTTTTTAATTTTTGTTTTATGTTCAGAGGGGATTGGTTCGAAGAGGTTTCGGTGGGTGTTACTTGAGGAGATTCCTCGATTGGCCAACCAAATGAACCAAATTGAGTCTCTTCGGCGTTATCTCGGTGAGTTTGGAGTCTGCGTGATAGTATATTTTTCTGTATTTTTCAATTTGTTTTTATTTTTTTTTCTCTATAAATAAAAATGGTAGATTGGGGAAGGCGCCCTCTTGCATACTAAACAAGAAGTCAATGACATGTTGAAGATGCTCGCATCAAGCACATTTGTCCACTTAGTGTATATTTGAATACCGGTTTAAAATCAAGTTTTACGGAAAAACACGTGTTCCAATGTAAATAAAGGGAAAAACATGTGAGTGTAATTTTTTTTTTTTTTCAATCCATGTTGAATTCAACTTAACTGATTTCCAAACACACACTTAAGGATGTGGGAACCAGTTGAGTTCAATTCAACGAAAGTTGAATAAAAAGTTACACTCACAAATTTTTACTTTTTCTGTATTGGATTGTATATTTTTTTCATTGAATGTGGTTTCAAACAGGTAACGAAGCAGACACTTAGTGGTTAGCCGAAGCTTAGTAATTCCAAATTTGATTCAGGACTTTACTTGTTGAGGGTCAGTAGAGGTCCACCACAATTTACTTAGTGTGGATTCAACTAGTGATATTTTAAAAAAATTGAATTTGATAATAAAAATAAATTAATAATGCTTCTTGGTTGTTTTTCACTCGGAAGGAAATGTCGCATGCTATTGCCATTAAATTCAAAATTAGTAGGTTGATTGATATTTTAGTCAGATTTTTGCGATATTGAACGAGCTTGTGTTTTTATTAAACAACTATTTGATGAAATGAAGATTTTTGTCTTTTTCATCATTTTTGCCAAGATTTGTTTGTTATGCTCTTCTTTAGATCAATTCCTTTGATGTATGTATGTATGAATTGATGAAGCATGCATGGGTGCATGTGTGTATGCGAATACATGGTAATATTGCATATTTGCTATGTGTATTCTCCTGTATTAAGCTATGTTTGGTAAATGGTGATTGCAGTCTGCTCTGTAAAAAATGGAATTCATTGAGTGCTGCTATTTGCTTCATTCAAATGGTTGGTAGTTGGTACCTTTGGTTTTTCGTGCATCTTGACCTAGCTTGCTGTAAAATTTACCTTACTTATTATTGTATCAGAGACTGCTGTACAGTTGGAAGCTCTAGTTGGGGATCTTGAAGATGCTGCTCTCTTTGTCATGGCTTGCCACACTGGGAATATGTTTTCATTGAAGCTCTCGATTTCATCTATGACCGAAGTAATTATTGTTTCCATTTTTAGTTGGATGATAAATATATATTGGAATTGGAATATTAAAGTAATCACTGATTGAGCATTTTTATGTATGGATGTATTGTGCTGTAGGGTATGTCAAGTAAACACGACAAGTTGCTTCAGGCCATCAAAGCCATGAATGATATTGAAGAAGTATTGGTTGGGGTTGTGAAATTCCATCCAGAGTGGCATCGTCTTCTGAAGTCTGTTGACATTAGAGTAGATACAATCTTAGCTGCTCTTCGACCACAAGTTTTTGCAGATCATCGCGCTCTTCTTGTCTCTCTTGGGTGGCCACCAAAATTGCTTCTGTCAAAAAATGGAAGTGAACATATCACAGGCATTCCTAATCCATTAGTTCTTATGCAAGAAGATAAAAGAAGAAATTACTCTCGGAGTTTTATAGCCCTATGTGCTTTGCAGCATTTGCAAAATAAAAGGGAAGAAAGACAGGTTAATAATAATCTTATTAAAAGAGACACAAAGAATACACAGCTTTGGGCCATTGATGAATTAGTGTCTCCTATTGCATCAAGGATGGAATACCATTTCACTAAATGGTCTGAGCAGCCAGAATATATGTTTGCTTTGGCATATAAAGTTAGCGGAGATTTTATTACAGGAATAGATGATGTCTTGCAGCCACTTATTGACAAGGCTAGGCTTATCAATTGTAGTGCAAAGGAGGCATGGGTCTCTGCAATGGTCCAAATGCTTTCTGGCTTTCTAGAAAAAAAAGTTTTTTCTTTGCTTACCGAAAGATACAAAGTAAAGCATTTGAAGTCCGATATATTATCTTCATGGCTTCACCTCGTGGATCTAATCATTGCATTTGACAAAAAGATGCTATCCCTTCTCAATCTGGATACTTGTTTTCTGGCAGTGTCTGAAAGTTTTGAAGGTCTCTCTAGAGGCGTGTCAGTTCTATCAATATTTTGTAATAGGCCCCATTGGCTGAAGATTTGGGCAAAAATAGAGTTCAAAAATGCCTGGAAGAAACTTAATGCCGAACTGAAAGAGGAGGATGCGTGGGTGATTTCTAAGAAATCTAAATCTGGGATTGGCACTGTCACTGATCAGGAGTATCTACTATTTACTGTCCAAGATGACAAAGCTCCGCCTACTGCAGAGTTTTTTCTTAAAATTATCTGGGAAATGATTGAACGCTGCCAAACTATGCCATCCATGTTATCACGTGCACAATTTATTAGATTAACTGCAGGAAGATCCCTCTGGTATTTCTTTAAGCTATTACTTTGGCGGTTCAAGGCAACTAAATTATGTGTGGATAATTTTGATGATGTTGCCATAGTTAGAGTGTGTGGGTTAATAAATGCTGCCAGATATATATGGATTAAATTGCAAGAATGGAGTGATGCTGTAGATTTTTTGGAGATGAAAATTGCTGAAAATGATTCTAGCAAGCCCATTCAACATGATAAAATGGATAATGACTATTTTTTTGATGAAGAAATAAGAAGCTTGTCTGAAATGGAAACCAACTGGCTTATGGAAATTATTGCTGTTGTTCTTCGACAGTTTGAAATGCTCTCCTGGGAATATGTTCAAAACATTTGTAGTATTGAGGATTATCAAGATTGTACAAATCTAAGAGATGTTGATTTAGTAGTCTCCAATGATCTTGTTGAAGCTTTAGATGCTTTAAAAAGTTGGCTTCATATTGTGAAGATAAATCTCAATGCAAAAGATTTTTTGGATTTGTGGAGAAGCATTGCCGAGGGGCTAGATCATTACATTTCATGCAGCATTGTCGGCAGTGAGACTGGGTTCTCTAAGATGGGCGTCAATCAATTTGAAGCTGATATGCAAGCACTAATATTTATTTTTCAGCCTTATTGTGCTCGCCCACAAGCATTTTTCCCTTGTATTAATGAGATTCTTAAGCTTTTGAAACTGAAAAAAGAAGAGGTAAAGCAAATGCAAGCATTTTTGCCCAACAATGAAAATGGATCAGAGCGATTGCATCTTTACGGAATTTCTCATTTATCAGTTAATCAAATTCTTAAAGTTCTTAGACACAAAATCTAGGTTGGTTGATTTATACAATAAAGGTGTATTAACCCTTGGCAGAGCAAAAGAACTTTCTCTATATGTGGTTTATAGTATACATAAATTATTTAAAAGTTCTACAAATGTTCCTTGTGTAATTGGATGAGCAGATGGAACATTGAAACCTAGACTTTTACCTTAGATGACTGATGATTGATTGGGGATATGAGAAATTGAAATTTATGATGGATGCAGAGGGACAATTGTTTTCTGCGGTGAGCTCTCCTCCTCTTCCACTATCTCTTGCTTTCCCAGGAGCAGTGAGATTGCCTGTGACCACATATAAAGATATTGTCAACATTCGCCCCCTTCTCCCCGCCCCCCGCCCCCGGCCAAAATATTTATTTGATCTCTGATCCCCATCAAGTGAACAGTGCTCTGAAATCACTGAATGTGCTTACCATGCACTTGTTTCTTAGCTAAATAAGGATCTTGACAAAGATAGTATTTTTTTTAGCTTCGCAGCACACCCCAAATGTCATTCGCTCAAAGGAAAACAATTGTCAGAAAAGTGTATGCAGCATTGGCAAAAAAGTGAAAATTTATTACCAGCTGCAAAATCTCAGCTCTTAGTTTCTAAACGTCAGTGATTTATGTTTCTTTTTCTTTCTATTTTTTTAAAGCATTTTTAACGTATTATTTTTTATTTAATTTTTAATTTGGTAGATTGTAGATGGAATGGATTCAGCTGAAATTTCAAAAGATGTTGAAGAAAGATTTCCTGACTGACCAAGGAAATGAAGTATGAATATGTTGGTGAGTTAGGAGGCTGTCCAGTTTGAGATAATTGTTTCACAATTCAAACAATTTGAATTATTAATTCATGTTTTCTTTGCATAAAATTTAGTTTGTCCGTGCTAGAGTATTAGTTGAGGGGGAGCCTTGGTGCGACAGTAAGGTTGTTGCTTATGGGTTCAAATATGAGAAATAGCCTCTTCACGTTTGGGGATAAGGTTGCTTGTATATGTTCTAAGGTTGTCAAACTTGAAATTCAACATAAACTCGTGAAGTTTTTACGAACTTGACTTGGAAGAATTTACTTATTATAGAAATAATATTAAAAATTATTAATGACATTTATGCATAATATAATATATTAATATTGAATGGGATTAAATTACGTAAATGATCAAATTATATATAATTTCATAAAAACATTACTCCTAAAATGAAATTTAAAAAGTTGATTTCCTAAAATCATTTGAATCATAATAAAATACTAATAGTATGGAGTTAATTTGAGTAAAAATTGCATTTGATTTCAAACTAATTAACTCGTTTCTTGACCTGAGATATAAGAGTGTAAAGAATTTACTATAGAGTTAACTTGACCTGAGATATAAGAGTGTAAAGAATTTACTATAGAGTTAACTTGTTTTTATTACTTAGTATCACAAATCCCACCATGTGTTAGCCTCCTGCTCTTGGCTGTGCTTTTATTGCTAGAATATTAGCTCTTGGTCAAGTACAGGCATATTGATCATCCAATTATTACCTCTTGAATTTCTACATTGATTGATTGTAATCAAACTATGGAAAGATTGCAGTCGAGGCAAATATTTTTTCCAAACCTCTTCGACAAGAACTATTCTTTGTGGATCCTGAGCAGCTTATGATAGGACCCAAAACGAGTCACTTGGTCCAAAAGAGCAGCTTATTCACCATTTGTCACATGGGCCTATGATTTGGAAAGTATATATACTAAGAAAAATAGAGGGAGAATCGGGAAGGGGAAGGATACTGAGCTGGCTGTGAGAGAAGAAAAAAAGGAGGGTGGTTACTGAGTTTTTGGTTTAGTTATTAAAAAGGCTGGATCTGGATGCATGTTAGTGGGGGTGTCTTGGAAAAACAATTGCGTTGTTATGGATGGAGAGCAATGGCTCTTACAAGGGGCCTAAGCTCTGTGACAGTAGAATATTCCTCCTACTGTAATATCCTCATTTTAGAAATAATATACACATTTCTTTCCATTGTTGAGTTCATTGTTTAATTATAAAGAATTGGTTAAATTGGTTCATCCTAGCAGATGGGGTTCTTAAAAGAAGGGATCAACATTGAAAGGGGCGGGGTGGGGGGAGTGAGACAAATGCTGCCAAAGAAGATGGTGGTAATGATTGCATATAAAGAAAAAATGGCTATCATAAAAAATGCTCCAGCAGAGATGCAAATGCAAGTGGAACTGATAACAAAAAGCCTTGAACAAAGAACGATAATGGAAAGCAATAGAGATAGAGAATGAAGGAATGAGGTAACGTTCTTCATCTCGAAAACAATTTTAAAGTTTGGGTTTAAAGAAATTGCATGGGACTCATTGGAAGAGTTTTGCCAATTGGTAAAAAGAGTGGAGTTACGTAATACCTATGTTCAATGGAGATGACCTAGCCACATGCATTACTTGGGTAAAGATATTTTTCAATTACAAGAGATAATCTCGGAAGGGTGAGTGAATTTAGAGCAACTTTGCATGAAAGGACACAGGCCTACCATTCACTTGAGAGCAACTACAAATTGAGCTACTTGAATGTATGGAGTGTTCATGGATCTATTTTTGAAAAATCTAAATTGAATCGAATCAATCTGTTTTATAAAAGTGGGTCGGTTAACTGATCCGTTTTTTATAAAGTAGACCGGTTAATTGATCTGTTTTTGTATAAAGTGGATCAGTTTGATTTTTTTTATTTTTAAATATGGATCTGTTTTATTCAAATCGGATCGGTTTAATGTAGTGTAGTTAACTATTTTTTACTTATATATGGATCAATTTTTTTAAAAAATTGAACCGATCCACTTTGTAAAACTAGATCGGATAATTGAACTGATTTTGTAAAATGGATCGGTTCGAATTTTTTTATTATAAAAATGGATTAGATTTTTCTAATACAAATCAAATCGATTATGGATCCGATCAATTTGAATTTTTCGCACATTCTTAGACGAAGGAGATATCTGTAACTGTAAATAACTCTTCGTCAATGTGGTAGTGTTGACAAGTATATTTAAAATTTCAAAAGGATGGTGAAAAGGTTACATGATAGTCAATTCTTTGGGTATTTCCTCCATGGGTTAAAGGTCGGAAGTACAAGGTGATATTCTTAACCAAGATCTGAATTAGTTTATGCACATGAAAGTAGAGAATTCCTTCCTGCACCCAACAATTGCCCCATGCACCCAACCTTTTCTTAAAATGCCCAAACTACACTTAAATGGTTGTTTCGAAACTCCCGTTTTGTATAATTCCAAATGAGTGTTCCAAACGTTTTATATTGTGTTTGGGTTGGGTGTTTCAGACACCTTATATAGTGTCTGAATTGGGTTATCTTGACGTAATAGATTGTGTTCAAATTCGATGTTCTTGACATAATATATTGCATCCAAATTGTGTGTTACGCATACAACACATTGCGTCTGGATTGGGTGTTCTGGATATAATATATTGTCTTCAGGTTAGGTGTTTTGGAGCATGTACGGTCAATTGGAGTATTTAGCTTTACATGATATAAATAATAGTAATATGAATAAAAATATAATAGTAAACAATTCAAGACACTTAGTAAACAATATCATCATCCATCAAATGAATAAAATAAAACAAGTGCACACGTGAAAATGGGTGTAGATGTAGTTATCGGTTGACGACATTGGTCCTCTGCAGACCCACGTCCTATATATAAGCCATCATCTCTAGTATGTGCCATGTCTATATAATTCAAACAAAAAATTGTGACAAAATTAGAAAACATGCTTTAAGAACATGTGGATATATAAACCAACGATTTAGATTAATCAATCTAGAAGCAGTTTTGCAATCCGAATTGGATAATCTAAATGGATATATGCATTCGGAAAGGTTTATCTGGATTACCCAATTCAGATTGCAACAATGTTTTCAGAATTGAATAATTTGGATGGACACCATTGATCCAAATCAAATGTGACTGACTAATTGGATTATCTAATCCGAAACACATTTAAATTTGATTTAGATCTAACATTATTGGTCTGGATTAGGCAATTTGGATAAAGACTTAACCACAAATTAATTAATATGGAATAACCATATAAACACAAAAATAAAAATAAAAATAAAAAAGAATGAGCAAGGCTCTGCGTCAGAGAGGAGGGTTGGTGTGGGTTTAGGGTTTTTTGATTTAATAGAATGAGCAAGGGGAAGGGAAATGGATGTAATAGTTTGTTTGGCTACAAACTTAAAAATATTTTAAAGAATTTTTTTTATTAACGAGAACAATTTCCAAGCATCCAATAAGATTAGGTGCTATATTTCTATAGAGTTGAGCATGATTAGTGAATAATAGCATCTACACTTGCACTCTAATCTGATAGGAACTTTTAGTTAATTATGGTATTGGGCTGGGCCAATCTTTCTTGTACGTGTTATGTTTTTCGGTACAAAAATAATAGATCATTGAGATTGAGTTTGTCATTTCCATTCTTAACTTAGGGTATATTTGGTTTCACATCAAACATGTGTAGAACCAATTCCATTACATTCTAAGTGATTGAAATCACGACTATAGTATGTTTGACTATTAACAGAATTGATTTCAAGAAGTGAAAATTTACATCCACTAGAAAATAATTATTAGTAACTTTTCCAAGAAACAAAATCAATTATGGAGTTTTATTTATCTAGAATTATAATTATACATTCAAAATCAAATTTGATAACAAATTTTTAAACATTTAATATAATAAAAATTAAGTCCATATCCTTTACCGTACAAATGAAAATCACGTTACTTTTGACTCAAATTTACTCAAAATTAATTCTACAAATTCAGGTTTATTCTAAATCAATTATATGAACGCATTTTTAAAGTTACACTTAAAATTGAAAAATTGTTTGCTAAGGTCAAATTCATTTTTGATTCTAACTTTTCAGCAATGTAGTTTGCTTACTTTTATATTAACTTCTGCATGCTTACTCAAAAGTGATTATCTTGGTCTTACATCTCCCCCCCTGTATTAAAACATGCTTCATATGTGCATGGCTTAACTGAAAGCATTTTTTCTTTCAATTAAGTGGGCAATGCCTTTGTATATCGTTTTCTTTAATTTTGTTGGCTCTGATGCTTGTCTTCCGATAAATGTCAGATGCGTAATTGAATAGGAATTAGTCCTTTATGAATAATTTGAATTATTCCTTTAAATTCTTTAAAGGATTCCTCAAGATAGATTTTGTAGTGAGAAAATGTATGAAGAAAGCAAATAAAAGTATAATTATTATTGATTTCTCATACTTGATCAGAAATCATTCCGTAGTTAGTATGCTTTTCTTTTTAAAAAATAAAATGTATGCTTAATTAAGAGATTTAGCTATTCGTCAATTATATAAACCTTTTTTTTTGTTTTGTTTTTGGACCCTTGAATAATTTGCTTTTTATTTTTGTTTGTTTATTTGAGTTGGTCTTCTTTGTTTTTTATTTTTATTAAGAGATTTATTTATTTGTCAATTATATAAACCTTGTTAGTTCAATTATTGTAAATCCTTTATGAGATGGATTCAATGCTGATTAATTGGTGTGTTTTATCTACACTATTTTTAAGGATCCTTTTTATTATGTACTCGTGAAATACATTAAATATTTGATTAAATTAATTATTATGAATTCCTTGTAATAAATATTTTTTTATATTCTTGATATAATAAATATTTTTTTTAATAAAACCCTTTTATTTTTGTACGGCAATTTAGTGCAAAAATAATACGACAGTGGATCAGTTAAATGGCATGTAATTGCCATCAAGCTGAAAGAACCGGCCTTTATAGGATAAAAATATATTTAAATCAATCTAAGGTAAATTTTATATTTTATATTTTTAAAATTTAAAATTATTATTTTTAGTCTCTGTAATTTTCAAAAATTTTGTTTTAGTTCTTTAAATCACTAATAATATATTGGAAAGTGACCTATTGAGATATTTATACACTATTAACTATCTTTAATATAATATTTTTTTACTAATATGAGAATAATTGACAGATATTTTAACAA